TACGCATGACCTTGGTGGAGTGGGTACACATGACCTGGGTGGAGTGGGTACACGTGACCTTGGTGGAGTGGGTACACGTGACCTGGGTGGAGTGGGTACATGAGACCTTGGTGGAGTGGGTACACATGACCTTGGTGGAGTGGGTACACGTGACCTGGGTGGAGTGGGTACATGAGACCTTGGTGGAGTGGGTACACATGACCTTGGTGGAGTGGGTACACATGACCTTGGTGGAGTGGGTACACGTGACCTGGGTGGAGTGGGTACACGTGACCTTGGTGGAGTGGGTACACATGACCTTGGTGGAGTGGGTACACGTGACCTTGGTGGAGTGGGTACACGTGACCTTGGTGGAGTGGGTACACATGACCTTGGTGGAGTGGGTACACGTGACCTGTGTTGAGTGGGTACACATGACCTTGGTGGAGTGGGTACACATGACCTTGGTGGAGTGGGTACACGTGACCTGGGTGGAGTGGGTACATGTGACCTGGGTGGAGTGGGTGTGTACTGACTGTCTGCGCTGAGTTCCCTCTGAAAGGGGAGAATAAGTTACACCTCAGAGCTGTTGCTGGGCTTGGGGAGATTGACAAAGCTGAGACGCAGGGCTCTGTGCGTGGTGGGGTCAGGGGACCGTGCACACGAGCTCCTTCCTCTCCTTACTCAGCCTGGGCAGCTTTCCCAGCCTCCATCTAGCCCCGTCCAGGGAGGTGGGGTCCTCACCCAGAAGCTCTGCAAGCCCAGGGCAGGGGTGCCCTTTGGCTGGAGGAGGGGGACAGGGTGATGTAGTGAGGAATATGGGTTCTAAGGCCAGGAGATCCCTAAGGGGATCCAGTGGGATTCTCCTGGGAGCCAAAGGTCCTTCAACACTGGGGCCACAGGGTCACCTGCTTTCTGCTTGATCATCCTAGTTCTGGGCTCCTGAGCTCAGAGGCAGACCATGCACGGCTGAGACAACATAAAGTCCTTCCTTGGGTCCCTGCTTCTGCCTTTCTGCCTGCGGCCTCGACCCTCGATCCCGTTTCTGCCCTGGAGCTGCTTGGCTGACTCCTTTGTCTCCTGGCAGCTCTTCCTAGGCCGTGCTTCTATCTCATCTTCTGGGTTTTCCTGTTGGGGTGAGTGGGGGTCCACCCAGCGGCGGGCTGGGTCAGGCATGTGCTCCTCTGTGGGGCATGCTTGGTCCAGGGGAGACACGTGGTATGTACAGACTGAAAAAGTGCCGTGACCCAGACTGTAAGAGAGGCTCACCTAAGCACTCAGAGAGCCAGAGAGAGGAGGGCCATTCCTGAAGGTGTTGAACCAAGAAGGACTGGCAGGCAGGCAGGCAGGAGACAGACCTGAGCCAGTGGAGGGGCAGGGCCCGGCAAGTGTAACAGCAAGTGATTTCCTCTGGAGCTGGGGCCTGGGACGGGCATGGGCAGTGCCTGTGGTCTGAGGCCAGACTGTGGCTTTTTAAATAGCAGGCTCCACGGGCTGGGCAGGGGGTGGGGGGAGCAGCTGAGTGATGTGCTCAGATTGGCATCTCAGAAAGCTCCCTGCCCTCAGGAAGAGGGTAGGAGGCTTTGGCGATACTGGCTAAGACTGCCTGGAGGACGAGAGGTGGCGGAGGTACAGGACCTGCTCCGGGTGCTCCTGGCCTCCCCACCCCCAGCACACCGCCAGCCTCCAGTTCCTTTGTGGGTCTGGCTTGAAGCAAAGTTCTGGTCGTGGCTCCTAACAGTGTGCTTGGGTGACTCTGTTCACCTGCCTGCAGGCAGGGCACCCGGGAGAGGGGGGAGGGGAGAAGGGCATGCCCTGCTGTCGCATGATGGCCTTTTTCCGGGTAGAGGAAGCCGCGGTGTGAGATGGTCAAGGTGACCACAAGACATTGGGGTTGGAAGCTCTCTGGGCGAGCCAGCCCAGCTGCCCCACAGGGAGGTTCCACCCCATGCTGTAGACTGCAGCGGGCCCCGCACACGTCTTGCGACTGTGCACAACATTCCTCAAGGTGGGGCTTGTCAGCCCCATGTTATCATGAAAAAGTTCCAACCAGCGCCCAGGAGGTGAGCACCTTGGCCCAGCACCCGGCCGTGATGGGCAGAGAGTGACGGGATCTGGACCGCCTCGCAGGGTTCCTGAGGTCCCTGCTGGCAGAGGTCGGGGAAGGACTCGAGAGACAGTGTGCAGGTGGGGAGGATGTTTCCTGGGGCACAAGCATGGGGGTGTCAAGTGAATGAGACCTTGTCACCACAGCTGGGCAGTGGGCCATGGCATCGCCCTGTCCAGCTGTGCATGCATTTTTGCAATGTCTTCATCAGATAGAGGCAGGAACCTGCGCCTGCACTGCCTCAGCGACCAGCTGGTGCCCAAGCTGTGGGTCAGGGTGGTGATCACCCCCTCACCCCTCACCCTGGGCGTGTTGCAAAGGACCCGCAGCCTGGGCAGAGCTCTCTGCTGAGTGTCACAAGTGGTCCCAGCCTGAATCTCACCCCCAGGTTGTTGCCCCAGCCACCAAGGGTTGCTCTGGTTGATCAAGGCGCAGGGTCCCCGTGGCGAGTCCACACCCCTGCTCACAGCACATCCTCTGAGCCAGGTCCAGGTAAAGTACAGGGGTGCAAAGCAAATGCGTGGCCCGCCTGGGCAGACAGCCCCAGCACCCACCCAGGAAATGGGGACGCGGAAGGTGGGGACAAGCCACAGCATAAGGAGCAGGAAGAAGGCAGAGGAGTCAGGCAGTCCCTGCAGAGGAGACAGGCCCGGTGAGGGCAGGCTGACGGAACAAAGTTCAGGGCTTGGATCTGTGACGCCGTGAGTCGGTGCACAGGTCAGGGGCAGGGCCTTGTCTGTGGGTGCCTCTCGGTGCAGCTCCCAGAGCTGAGCAGGTTCATGGGTCCCACTGGAGCAGACAGTGCTGCTTCCTGGGCCCACACCCTCATGCTCTTTCACCTCGTCCCGCCCTCTAAGGGCGCCACGCCGGCTGAGAAGCTGTGCCCCATGGTCTGGGGAAACCCCTCCATGGGCAGCCTGGGTGCAGCCAAGTGCCCTGGGACCTCTGCTTCTGCGAGGACTTACTCTAGTCCCTAACACCATCTCCCCGAAGGTCTCCCAGGCCTCTCGGGATTGGGCCAGGTGCCATCTCTAAGGTAAGTGAGCCAGGCATGCTCTCCTGTGAGGACACTCCTGCGGACCCCGGCAGGAGCTCATCCAGAGGGCTGGAGAGATTGTTGCTGGATCTATGACAGACAGTTGCCCCCCACAAACTTAGTCTGCTCGGTGAGGAGATACCCTGACTGTAACAATGTAAAACGGGGTGCTATGTTACAGCAGATGTTAGATGGAAGCTGGGAACAAACCGCAGCTCTTCCCATGGAGAGGTGTAGAGTAACCCCCCCCCCCCCCTCGCTGGATGAGTCTGTCTGATGGAAGGAAGGATGTACAAGTAACGTTTGGGGACTGGCATGGCTAATTCGCAAAGAGCTTCTTCTACTGAGAATTTCTAAAATGCTTGTTCTGGGAGAAGTTACCCACTATGTGGAAGTCTGACGCTCCTGAAGAACCCCAAGATAACCATGAAGAGGAGAGAGAGAGAGAGAGAGACCCAGCTGGTTTGGGACCTCTCAGCCGGGCATGGGACATGGGAGTGAAGTTCTTGGACATCCAGCCCCAGAAGGTCCAAGTGGAGGAGAACCACTGACCCGAGCTCGCAGTCAGGACACGTGGCCAACCCAGCACCCACCCAGGCCCCGCATGGAGAGATGCCATCCTCACGGTGCCCTGCCTGTGCCCCTGAGCCACAACGTTTGAGCAAAAGGAAAGAGCTGTAGTCTTAAGCCGCTGAGTCGATAAGTTTTGAGTGGCTTAGATGTAGCCGCAGATAACTGGAAATGCAGCTAATCCTGTCCTCTGACTGCCTGGCAGTGGGGCCCGAGGTTCCCGTGCTGGCCTGGTGGGCCCTGACTCTCAGCAGTGAGCATCCCCAGGCCCCATGGCCTCTGCACCTCTCACCGGGGCTGCCCCCTCCAGGCTCCCAGATCCCGCAGCATCGGCCCCTGCCCACATGTGTGCACAGCCTCAGGGTGCAGTCCCCAGGAGCAGGCTGGTTTCGGCCTGCGTTTGGGCCGTGGAATCCTCTGGTGTCTCGTGCCTTGGCTTTCCTGGAGGACCCGTGAGGGCCTGCCTTCCACAGCAGGGCCCTCTGCAGCTCTGTTTCGCAGAGACGCTCAGTTGAAAAAGCGAGGAAAGCAAAAGTGAGGCCTCCTGCTACAGGGGAGTTTGTGACCTCGCCCAGTGCCCCCTGGGCAGCCACCCCCTCCGGGCGCACTGGCTGACCTGTGCTGGGGACCAGCTCTCCTTGGGAGGCACCACTGTTCCCTGTGACACAGACATGGCACCCCAAAACTGCTCTCACCGAGGCCTGGAGTTCCCTGTGCTTTGCAGGGACTAGTCTTCAAAACCAGACACTTCAGAAGCCAGGAATTGGACATCAAGTGTAGCCTTAATTGGAGGTGAAGAGTGGGATGGGTGTGTGAGAAGATCGGCCCGCCTGCCTCCCTCTGCCCTCTGCCCAGACTGCAGGGGCACCTGCTCGCTAAGAGGCCTCAGGACCCATGGGAATGAGGACGGCGCAGTCCTCGCTTTGTGGCATGGACTGAGGAACGGCCCGGTTTTCGGCTGTAGGCAGGGCTGTCTGTACAACAGGGAAGTTATTCAGCGGAGCCAGGACTAGGATGAGCTGAGCCAGGCACCTGGGCACACATTTAAATTCTAAATTGAAGGAGGCATTCACTCCCAGGCCGGGCTGCAAGCCCTGGCATCCAGCGCTGTCCACGGCCCATGGTTTGTGGGCTTCTGGCTACTCATGGAGGTTGGCCTGCACTCTGTCCTGGCTGGGATGTCTGAAACTCTACATCCCCGGGGCTCCAGTTCAGTACAAAATGTGTGACTTTCATCAGCAACCCACCCAACCAGTGACCCCGAGGCCTTGTCCAGAAGTCAGGAGAGCTGACAGTGTGACATGGAGACAGGAGACAAGTGCCATGCTCACCCCAGAACCGGGCTTCATGTAAGAAAGTTTTGCCCCCAGAACTGCCTTCATGTGGCCACATGGTTCTGCCCACTGTTGGTGGGCGGGGTGCTTTCACAGAGCTGTTCAGGGCCCGTCCTTCTACCCCTCCCTGTTATCTGTCCCTCGGGATCCTGTTAGCCCTCATCCTAGTCCCGTGGCTGGCAAACTGCGGCTCTTGAGCCACATGCGGCTCTTTGGCCCCTTGAGTGTGGCTCTTCCTAAGCCTTAGGAGTACCCTAATTAAGTTAATAACAATGTACCTACCTATATAGTTTAAGTTTAAAAAAATTTGGCTCTCAAAAGAAATTTCAATAGTTGTACTGTTGATATTTGGCTCTGTTGACTAATGAGTTTGCTGACCACTGTCCTAGTCCAACAGAGCCAATTGCTCCATCCCACTGCCCTGCACAGTCCCCAGCGAGGCCCCCTGGTGGTGCCAGCTAGAGCCAGCTCTTCTCCTCAAGCCCTTGTGGACCAGCCTGGCCCCTGCATCCCACTGCATCCCACCTCAGCCGCTAGTCTCTGTCCCTCCTGTCCGGGCTGGGTCCACACCCCCCACAAAATTTCCTTCTTCCAGAGGCCAGGGTATTCTTCTGCGCTGTCTTCCTGCGCTGCTTACACCGGCTTAGCAGTGGTCCGATTCTGGACCCCGAGGCTGAGGTGCAGCCTGGGCCTGTGGACACCTTCTGAGCACCGTGTGGGCATCCTGGCGCTCGGGGCCAGAGTGTGGGGCAGAGGCAGGAGGGTGCTGAGCTGCAGCGGGCAGGAGGGAGGCGCCTCAGGAAGGTGGATCCCGGCTCCTCCAATAAGTCATCCTCTCACCTGCTTCCTCTTCTGGAAAATGACGAGAATAAAACGTGAGCATTGGCTGTGAGAGTTGGGCCTTGTATGACGGATGCTCTGCAAATGTAGCGATGGCCAGAGTATTGTTAGGCGAGGCGGGTGTTCCCGTTAGTGCTCTCGGGGGAAGAGGGGGCTTATTTCCACCCTTCCTTCCACCGATGCACACGCTGACTGGACTAGGAGCCCTTCTCTGTGCCCCGATGCTGCTCATGGACTTTCTGGTCTCAGCTTCCTTCTGCAGCCCGGCGAGGATATAAGTGATCCAAAGCCCCATCCACACATATCTCGCTTGTAACACGCTCTGTGTGGGCCTGTGTGTGTGAGGCTGGGGCCTGCGTGTGGTGCTGCTTGCCCAGGCCCAGCTCCCTGGCTTGAGCATGTGCTGCTTTTGCCTCAGGATGGACCTCGCGGCTGACGACGGCTTGTCTGTTCCGACTCCGTTGCTGGGTTGAGTTCTGACGCCTGCCTTGCATTGGTGCAGTGCCCTGGTGGCAACACAGGACACTTCACAGCGGTCACTAGAGGCCACACTACCTGGCTTTTCTTTTTTCTTTTTGTTAATCCTTATTCGAGGATATTTTTTCCATTCATTTTTAGAGAGAGTGGAAGGGATGCGTGAGAGACACACTGATTTGGTGGCCTCTCACACGTGCCCCGATCAGGGCTGGGGATTGAGCCTGAAAACCAGGCCCTTGACCGGAATCGAACCCAGGACCCTTCAGTCCATGAGCCAACGCTCTAACTGGCTTTTCATGCCAGGCAGTGGTCTGGGCCCGGGCTGCCCGGGTAGCTGCACGAGAATGTCATTCTCACTGCTGCCGGGGCAGCCTCCTAACTCCCGCGTCTTAGTGACCGCTCCGCTTCCTCAGGGATGGCTGTCCCTGCTGGTCTTCGGGCTGTGAGGACCCCTTAGGAGCAGGTGCACTGGGTTGATGTCGATGGCTGGAGAGGGCTTCGGGTCAGAAGAGGGCACAGCTGGTTGCAGAGGTGAAAGCTAGATTTCCACTATGGCTAAGGACGTGGAGGTATTAGAACTAGTTAGTGGTTGAAGGCTTCTTACTCAGGAGAAGTTCTGGCAGATTCTAACACGGCAGGGACATTTACCTGGGTACTGAGAGCTGTTCAGCCGACACCTACGAGCCAGGTTTCAGAGGCACTGTGATTAAAGGCCAAGGTTTTACAGGAGAAAGTTTCCGATATTCAGTTAGAAGAGCTTTCAGAGTACAGCGTGGCACTCAGTACCCACTTACTCTCACGTCTGTGTAGGTAGAGTTCCCCAGAGGCAAGAGTCAACT